GGGACAAAAAAAAAAAAAAAACCCACACACGGCGGACCCCGGCAAACCACCAGGCTGGTCCGGATGAGCTCTATGGAAGTCCTGAATAAGGGACGGGTCCAAGACATGGCGGGAGGGTACCCAGGACCGTTCCTCCGGACCGTACCCCTCCCAGTCCACCAGGTATTGGATCCCCCGACCACGTTTCCGGGACCGCAGTAGACGCTGGACCGTGTAGGCCGGACCCCCAGCAATGAAGCGAGCAGGAGGTGGAGGCACCGGAGGAGGAGCCAAGGGACTGGACCGAACAGGCTTGACCCGGGGGTGAAACGTGGGGTGTACTCGAAGAGAGGGGGGCAGACGGAGGCGGACCGCTGCAGGGTTTATCACCTTGGAGATGGGGAATGGCCCTATAAACCTAGGGGATAACTTGCGGCATTCGGTTCGAAGGGGTAAGTCACGGGCTGACAACCAGACCTTCTGGCCAGGCTGGTAAACAGGTGCTCGGGACCGGTGTAAGTTGGCCCATTTTTTGTATTCCTGGACCGAACGGAGCAAGACTAGGCGGACTCTTCTCCAGGCTCGGTGACAGCGACAGACCAAGGTGGATGCAGACGGCACCCGGACCTCTGGGTCCAAACTGGGAAATAAGGGGGGGGAGTATCCATACACACACTCAAAAGGGGACATACCAGTAGCGGCTGAAGGCAGAGAGTTGTGGGAATATTCCACCCAGGTCACGTTTTCAGCCCATAAGGTCGGGTCCCGGTGGCACAAGAGACGCAGACCAGTTTCCAGTTGTTGATTGAGCCTTTCAGTCTGCCCGTTGGTCTGAGGATGGAAACCTGAAGAGAGACTAACAGATATGCCCAGGAGCCGACAAAACTCCGTCCAGAAACGGGCCACAAACTGGGGTCCCCTGTCTGACACCACATCCCTGGGGAGACCATGCAACCGGAACACATGTAGGATGAGCAGTTGGGCTGTGTCCTTAGCTGAGGGTAATTTCGGTAGTGGTACGAAGTGTACCATCTTAGAAAACCTGTCAACAATAGTGAGGATGGTAGTATTACCTCGTGATGTGGGAAGGCCGGTTACAAAGTCCACAGAGATGTGGGTCCAAGGTCTCAGGGGAACGGGGAGAGGGCGTAACAGCCCTACCGGTTTACATGTGGGGACCTTGTGCTTGGCACAGTCAGGGCATGCGGCAACGAACTCCCGGACATTGTTCCTTATAGTGGGCCACCAAAACCTCCTTTGCACGAGGTAGCAGGTTCGTGCCACCCCAGGATGACAGGCGATCTTGGAGGCGTGACACCACTGCAACACCTTGGTG